GGGCTATTACACATGGAAACCCTGTCTTGAAAAAACAAAACAAACAAAAGACAAGAATTGTAGACTAAAGTTCAATGGGACATCTTTCTATAGCTGAGCCACAGATTCTCCTTCTTCTTCCATCATGCCTTCCAGAACTTCTATCTCCTGTCATCTTCTCTTAGAAGCACATGATAGAGTCCTTTGCTCTTGCCTGAGGGTGTCTGCCTAACCAGCTTTCCCTAGTGATCACCTTATCTGAGAATCAATACTGCCAAGATTGATACATAGCTGGATATTCTCTTGGCACCCAAGGAGACTAGCAAGCATAGCTGACCCCTCATATAAGCCTTTGCTTAGCGGGTCTTAAGTTGTTCTCAGTCCACTCTGGTCTGAACCTATGCAATGAGAAGGTTTAAGTTAAGTTTTCAATAAGTCAGCCAAAACTTATTACAGCATATTGTAATTGACTTTATTTTTTGTATACTTGCCTCACAAATTCAGCTTTACTGTTATGTATGTACTGGAGAAGACACACCATACATAGAAGTCTCAAGCATCCACCAGAAGTCCTGGAATGTGTCCTGTCAGGAGGACCACTGTACCTCATCACTGGTCCTGAATTCCTCTTCATTCATAATTAATCATTTCTTTTTGAGATTTTCCCTTATAAGGCCACAGTGACGGAGTTGCTTCTGGTGTTTAGCCACAGATTCATTTCCAAGGCCAGTCCAAAGTTTCTGGAGAATTGAGTGGGACATCTGAGGCCTTTGCAAAGGTGGCCTTCATGAGAATGTTCACAGGAATATCATGTAGGCATGCCATACCTGTGGCCTGCAGGCTGAATGCATGCCAGGATAGCTAGAAACATAACATGGCCCATTACAAAACTATGAACTTACTTGAGACATTGCTTGGTTCTTGAGTGTGAACTTTATTTTGTGCAGGTCTTGTGGCAGGGAGCCATAGCTGCTCTATGCTCTTGATCGCAACGGGCATGTCATATCCAAAAGTTGACATCTTGCAGTAGCCGTCTCTATCCCATGGCTCTCACAGTCTTTCTGTTCCCTGTTTTGTGATGTTTCCTAAGCCCTGAAGGTGGTGGTATAGATGAGCTGCACAGGGCTGAGTGCACAACTGTCACTTACTCTCAGTACTTTCACTAGTTGTGATTTTCTATATTTGCTGCTGCCTAACACACACACACACACACACACACACACACACACACACACACACACAAGAAGAACCTCCTCCGATCAGGCTGAGAATAGCTTTGGTCTATGGATGTGAATACATAACTATATGTCCAGTGTGCAAAGCATCAATAGTAGATACCTGGCTAGGATCTTTGACCTTGTCCAGCCAACCCCCACCCCGAGTCAAAAGCTTTTTACTATATGACAGTACCAGGCATATAATCCCTCCTGTGATAAAGACTTCAAATCCAAATTTTAAAAAGTAGCTCTTGCTAGGTGCTAGGGGAGACACACACACACACACCTTTAATTCGAGCACTTAGGAGACAGAAGCAGGCAGACCTCTGAGTCTGAGGCCAGCCTGGTTTACAGAGTGAGTTCCAGGACAGCTAGAACTATACAGAGAAACTTTGTCTAGAAAAGCAAGCAGGCAAACAAACAAACAAACAAAATGGTTCATTACCCTCTATTCATCAATAGGGTCTTACCTTACCACTAAGTTCTAGCCAACAACCAGGGTAGTCCTTATATTGTATCTTCTTCAACTTTCCAAGTGTTTTCAGTACACTTGTTAAGTTAATTTGAGCCCTACAAAAATGCATTAGCAATCAAATGTCTACAATGGATCTGGGATTATTTATTGCTGCACCACAAAGCCATTCTAGGTAGCCTTTGCTGTGCCTTCTGAACAGGTAAGAAATGGAAACTTGTTGGGCCTTTGATTCTTGTCCAAGGCCTTGGGGTTAGTAGAAAAGCTCCAGTTCCAACTTAAGTCAATTAAGGCCATGCTGATCTTTCATGTCTCTGCACTCCCACACCTGACATCTTAGTCCAAAGACATAAGTTTCCCAGAGAGCCTAGGCATCTATTGAATAGTATATCCCTCCTCTGGAGTCCATTAGGGTGAAGATGAGGAGAGAGACTGGGGGAAGTCTCCTATTTAGCAAACTGTCATGGTGAATAATGAATTTTAACAAAGGTAAGTCGCTTCATTTTATTCATTTTAACTTAACCAATATAAGTTTAAAAATTTTTCTTACGTTCTTGAAATTCCAGTTGTTTTAGAGGAAGGGCCAGAAGAACCAATGCCAAGTATTTACATTGCTGGGGAGTCAATGGTGATTTTGAAGCATGAGTAAGCATTTTGTAGATAAAGGAGAGGAAGGACATTCCAGGCAGGGAAAACTAGTGTGTCAGCACCTACTCCTGAATCCTGTGCTGCTGGCACTCCCTTCTCCTCTGGCTTTATCTGTCATACTTCCTGACATAGTCATATAGAGAAAACCATTGTGTTGTGCCCAGAGCTCACTGCACAAATACCTGTGATTATTGAGCAGAGTACAATCACTATGGCTGGCTGCGGGAAAAGCCATATGTCACTGTCTTGGGTTTCAAACCTTCAGTCAATTACTTCTTCACACCCCTTTCATTCTTCTTATTACTGAAAGTAGAAGAAAATACTGGAAATAATGCCCCTACTTAGTGTCTGTGGTTATAGCCTATCCAATGATGCCATCTTGATATTCCCAAAGAGCATCAGTGGTTTCTCTGTGTAATGGCTCTGGCTGTCCTGGAACTCACTTTGTAGACCAGGTTGGCTTCAAACTCACAGAGTTCCAGAGGTCCACCTGTCTCTTCCTTCTGAGTACTGAGATTAAAGATTAAAGGTGTATGCCACCAATGCCCAGCTCAAATGCCTCCTTCTGACTTTTTTGTAATGTTTTTATTTAAATTAGAAACATGAGTGCTTCACATGTCAATCCCAGCTCCCTCTCCCACCCCTCCTCCCTTGTCCTTCCACCATGCCCCCAGTCCCCCACCCCATCCCCACATCATTCCCCAGGGAGGGTGAGGCCCTCCTTGGGGGGATCTCTAACGTCTGTCATTTCATCCAGGGCAGTACCTAGGCCCTTCAACATGTGTCCAGGCTGAGAGAGCATCCCTCTATTTGGAATGGGCTCCCAAAGATCATTCATAAACCATGGTAAACACTGGTCTACTACCTAAGGGCCCAGTGATTTCTATGCCCTCCTCACTGAGACTATATTCATGGAGTATAGATCAGTCCCCTGTTGGAAGACTTATCTCAATATGAGCACTCAATTTCTTCAGCTTCTTGACTCATTTCCTATCCTTCTACATTCTACAGAGCAGTAAAACTAAAACACCTCCCGCCCTCAGAACATACTGTTTCCTCACTTTCAAGTACATCTGTTGGGATGTTCCCTCATGCAAGGCCAATGCTGGCACCATTTTTAGGAGTCATCTCTGCCCTTTTCCAAGGCCAACCCAAGATACTATATCCTCTAGGAGTCTTCTCTCATCAAACCTGCCTAACATTTTGTATCTTGCTTATGGTACTTGACCAAGTCATCTTATAATTTGATCCTCTATATTCATGCTTCTAGTGTGGATCCTTGGTTAGAATAGGTATTGTAAGACATTTGTGAAATTCCAAGGACCAGTTATGTGCCGAGACCTTGGTTAGATGCAGGAGATACTACAAAAGAGAATTTTGATGATGATATAGTAGAAATATGAAGAATAATTTTTTTGAAAATTTAAAGGAGCGTGGACATTTGGGTTAATATAAAATCATTATGTTGCTGATGGTGACTGATGGTGATGATCATTGTGATAATGGTAATGATGATGATGGTGATAATGATGATAATGATAATGATGATGATGTCAAAAGGCAATGAAGATAATGAAAATGATGATGATAATGAGTGTGTAAGGTGTTTCTATTTTTATTTCTGAGTCTCCTTTACTCCTTTATCATCTTTTTTTGCTCTCTAGGATGTTGATCCTAAAGACTTTATTAGCAAAGATCCTCTACCTTTTCTTTTCCTGTTGGATTAAATCTATCAGAATATGATGTAGGAAAGAGGGTTTCGGTATTGCTATAATTTGGATATGAAATATATGCAGAAGACTCATTTGTTAGAGTCTTGGCTCCTAGCTGAGGGTTCAAGTGAGAACAGATTACATTGCAAGGCTTCTAGTTTTACAAATAAATGAATTCCTTGATGAGTTCATAGCTGAATGTGTTATTAAGGGCTGTGACCTGGTTGGAGTAAATAGATCATTGGATATGCGTCCCCCAAAGTGTTATTTGTTTTTCTGTTTGCTTTTTACCCCTAGCCCCTTGTTGTCTCCTCCCATCCCTCATCTCATGCTCCTGCCACAATGCTCCTCCTCAGCATATATGGGCCCAGAATCAACAGAGACAAGGGTTCATTCAAATGAATGAACCAAAATAAAACTTTCTCCCCTTAAATTGTTTATTTCAGTTGTCTTATGTCAGCAATTCCAAGCAGATATAGATATAGACATGCATTATCGCAGCTTCCATTTGCCCTTGGAAGGTTGCACCTCCTTTCAGACACTCACCCCCAATAAGTGGAGATCCTGTCAAATATAGTAATGCTTTCGTACTTTGTCCATATGGCTTAAGGTGGCAGTACCTCCCTGTTGTTGTCAGTCTTGGGGTGTGTTATTAATGAATCTCATAAATTTTGTTTTAGCTACAACCCCCAAAACATCACAATTTCTCCATAACATAATAACATCTTGTTTCTTGATAGACCTTGACAGATGCAATGACTTATGACCATTGCAATTAAGACAGTGATGGTGGTAAGGTTTTCTCAACTGGAAGTCTGAGAATTCCATTAAGCAACTCATAGAGAATAGCTACAAGATCACAACAAATACTGGCAAGAAACCTAGGGTATCATTTAGTTATTTGTGTGTAACAGATGATCCAAAATTCTATGACTTAAAGCAGTAATGATTCTTATTTCTTCCCTTTTGCAGGTTAGGGACTATACAGCAAGATTGCTCTGCCTACTCCATTATGGCTAGGGCTTCCTCTGCAAGTGTTGAAGGCCAGTTGATCTTGGATGTTGGCTACATTCCAAGGGTGAGCACTGATAGACACAGCAAATGAGCCAGGCTAAGATGATACAGTCTAATGGCTCAGCCTTCAAAGTCATGGGGGTGGGGGTCCACCACATTCCTGACCCCTTATTTCAGGAGAAAGGGATACAGGCCCTACTTTTTCTTCATGTTGTGCTGGGATTGAAACACAGAGCTCTGACTTCACACACAACACACACTCTACCCCTAAGATATATCCCCAAGGCTTTGGATGTTGTGCTGTTGGTGTCTCATTGTATGATGTGAACTTAGGCCACTGTGGGATCTACACATGCATGAATCTTCATGTATCCCTCCTTCTTTCTTGCCTGGCACTGCTTACTATGTAGATCACCCAATGAAATTGATAATGACCCAAGCACCAAGGGACCTGAGTCTTTGAGTCATCACTTGGAGGAACCCACCCAATTTTTACTGGCCTCCATGGTGTGCTAATTAAAGGTTCAGTGTGTTAGTCTTTGATATTTTATGGGTGCTGTGGGAACTTAACCTGTAGCTTTAAACATTAAGTCACCAGATTCCTCTTTCTGTTTTAACAGCCCATCTACAATGATGGCCAAAATAGCTTGGGTTAATTTTATTTTTCCTTAAAAACTATGCACTAACCCCAAAAACTAGTGTTCATGTGATGAGTGTAAGAAAGAGAAGAAATCAGGGGCTAATCAGGGTCACCAACTGACAGTCTCCTTATGGTGTACATAAAGCAGCCCAACAGTGGGAAAGTGTTTGTTAATGAGACGGTAGGCCATCGATGTTCAGTTCTGGTGTCCTGGGTCTCAGGGTGGTGGAGACTGCTATGCTGGAAGTGATTGGCAGGCTTGTATCTTCTGGGGCCTTACTCCACCATGTAGAAAGCTGTCTGAAAGAGAAGTTGGTTTTGTGTCTGTCCCAATATAAAGCCTGGGAAAAACATCTGTCAAGTGGTATTTAGAACTGACATTTTCATAAGGATTCAGCCTATAGAGGATTTTCACGGGGCTTGGAAAACCACATTTTTCTTTTCTTCTGCACATTAATCATTGTTTTTAGTGCTAAAGGGTTGCACTATGGCTTGCTTGCAGAACTCACTGCATTTGAAAAAGGGTTTTGTTTGGAATAGTCTCAACACAATCACAATTTCCATAACAATAGTTTAATCAAAAGGTTTTGATAAATAACACTTCTTTCTGAAGGCAGTTGAGTGTAAGATGTATACATCTGGTTCCTAAAATACTTCAGTGTTTTTTTGTTTATTGAATGGAACAATTTCTACCTATGACACCACTGTCAATTGCAATCATTTCATTTCTAACAAGATGCTGATCTAATCCGTCATTAGCATTCTCAGTATAGCACCAATTTGACTCTGGTGGACTGCTGTCCTGCCTCTGTGGTCTCCCTTAATCTGGACCCTTTGTACCCCACACCTTCATTTGTATCCCATGACAGAGAGTTTTGAAAAGCAGAGTTATTTGCTTTTCAGTTTTTCAAATTGTTTTGTTTGTTTGTTTCTGGAGCTCAAACTCAAGTCTTCATGCATGCTAGCCAAGCACACTGTCACTGAGTCATGTCCTCAGCACAAGAGAATCAGTTTAAACACAGCGTGTTCCTATGTTCAGACCTGTTACTATTTTAGTAACACCATAAAAATAAATCTCTATAAAAGGGACTCAACAGTCTTTAGGAGCACTTGATGTTCTTGTAGGGGATCTGGGTTCAATTCCTAGCACCCACAAGGCTTACAAGTGTCTGTACTCCATTCTAAGGGGTCCAGCACTCTCTTCTGGCTGTTGATGGCATTAGGTATGTACACAAACTGGCACACACACACACACAAACACACACACAAGCAAAACACTGATACACATAAAGTAAAAGTAAACAAATCTTTTAAAAAAAGCTAAACATCTTTATAAACAGCAGCTATCTAGCAGATTAGAAGAAGAGCTACATCACTGTTGACCAGTTTGTCTCCTTGTTTTGTTTCTCCTTGCTGTTGCTTGTGCCTTACAGGAATCCACTCTTCACTGACATCTACATCTGCTTAAGTCTGTCTTTTTTTCTCAATCAGCTTCATGATCCCAGCAATGCATACATCATCTAACAGCACCACAGTCCAAGCTCAGAAGCTTTTGAGTCCTAGAAAACCTACCTGTGCCCCTTGGTAGGCAAGTGCTTCCTTACCTCCAGTATCTGGCAGTTACCGTGATGTTTTCTATCTTTACAGTCTTGCTTTTTCTAAAATATCATGTAAATGCAATCATATTAGGGTAGCCTTGTGCCTGGCTCTTTTGCTTAGTGAATACATTTGAAGGAACTTCATGTTGTTGCATGGATTAACAGTCAGTTCCTTTATATTGTTATGTAGTATTCCAAAGCAGGAATGTTCTGTGGACTGTCCACATGTTCATCACGTCAAATAGGAGTGAGATCTCTGCATGTGTTTAACCTTTGTACTATGGGAGACTGCTAAACTGTTTCATATGTTACTCTACCCACTACCCACCCTAGCAAAGAGTACTTCTAAGTTCCAGGCCCTGTTTTTTTTTTTCACTCAGGCATCATTTAATTGTTCTAATATGTCTGTGTTTGTTGCTCTTGATTGTTTTGTGTTTCTGTAGTGACAAATGGTGTTGGACATCTTTGCTCTGCTTATGTATGCAGATAAATTTTGTAAGTAAAGTATCCTTTCAGATCTTTATTGAGGTGTTTTTTTTCTTATTGAATTTGTATTTGTATTGAATGCTTGTATTTGACAGTGTCTGTTTATGTAGGCTAGGCTGTCCTTGAACTCATAATCCCGCTGCTTTGCCCTCTCAAAGGCCAGGATTATAAGCATGCATCACCACAGTAAAGGAGAGTTTACTATTTTTATTTTTCAACACAGTCTGGGTAAATTCTCTACTTGCTATATCTTACAAATATTTTTCTACCCCCTACCAGGGGCATATATTTGCATTGTCTTAGCAGAGTCTTCCAGGACAAAAGTGTTTGATTTTAAATCCAACTGTTCAATGTTTTATTTTATGTGAGGTGTTTTTGATAACTTGTTAAGGAATATAAGGCCTGTGAGTGTGATGCATATGCCTGGAATCCTCTGGAGGCAAAGGCAGGAAAATAATAAGCCTTAATCTTACCCTAGGCAACACTAAGACTCTGTCTCAAAAGCAAACAATGACTACCTAAAACAGATATTTTTTCTAATATGAGGTCATAAAAGGTTCTCCTGTGTTTTCTTCTAGAAGTTTTTCTTTTGATTTCATATGTATGTCCATATAGACTTCAGCTTTATTTTTTAAACTATGGTTTGAAGTAAAGATTTCATTTATGTGCATTTATATGTGTTGGCTTTCCAGGACATATAATATTACCATAATTTATAGTATAATTTTTACAAATGAGTCTTTGTTTGAAAAAAGCACAAGAAACAGAAGATTAGTAATTTCTACTTCACTTTTGTTTTGTTTTTGCAAATTGGAGTAACAGAGGGCTTGACACATACTATGCAAATGCTGTACCACTGAGCCAGGTTCCCAGCCATTGGCTCAGTTTTTTGTTTGATTTTAATACAAGGTCCCACTATGTAATTCAGGCTAGCCAGGAGCTTATTCTGTAGTCCAGGTACTCATTTTAGGATTGTAGATGTGAGCTAAAACTCCCAAGCCTGGCTCAGGTGTGATTAGAATGGCACAAGAGTTAAGATATGTTTCATGGTTGCTCAGAACTAACAGTTGTGTATAAGCTGCAAAATAAGTCTGAACTGTGGGACTCAGATCAAAGGAGGCACTCGGCTTACTGCTTGCTGGACCCTTCAGGTCATGGTTGAATTACTGTTCAATTTTTATGTGGTGTTTTAAAAGATGCTAATGGATAAAATATAGGACTAGAAGAATCTTGCTGGGCTGTGTGGGGCAACTGGGCAGGGAAGTGAAGACTTGACTAGCATTTCTTTTTTTGTTCATCAGCCAAACAATTTAATAATTAATATAAGTCTCTGTGTGTTTATTTGGGGCTAAACTGTGTCTAGAGGACTTTTTTATATTTTATTTTTAAATTTAAATTTAAATTAGAAACAAGGTTGTTCCACATGTCAATTCCAGGCCCCTCTCCCTTCCCCTCCCCTCCTCCCGTGCCCTCCCACCAATCCCCCCAATATCCCCTCATTTCCTCAGGGAGGGTGAGGCCCTCCATGGGGGTGTCCATAGTCTGTCATTTCATTCAGGGCAGGGCCTAGACCCTCCCCTAAGAGTCCAGGGTGATAGGGCATCTCTCATTGTATACCCAAAGTCCATTTGTATACCTGGGATAAATACTGATCTACTACCCAAGGCTCAATAGATTACCTAGGCCTCCTCAGTGACACCCACATTCAGAGGGTCTTGATCATTGACTAGCATTTCTTAATTTGTTTGTTTGCATTTGGTTTGTTTGTGATCAAGGAGGCTGTGTCACCCAGGCTGGTTTTGAACTCACAACAATCCTCCTGCTTCAATTTTCTTAGTCACTGGCAGTGACTGTCACTTCTGAGGAGTAATAAAGAAGCAGCATTGGCTGGGTGGTGGTGGGGGCACATGCCTTTATTCCTGGCATGTGGGAGGCAGAGGCAAGTGGATGTCTGTGAGTTCAAGGCCAGTCTGGTCTACAGAACTAGTTCTAGGGCAGCTAGGACCGTTACACAGAGAAACCCTGTCTAGAAAGACAAAAACAAAACAAAACAAACAAACGAAAACAAAAAGAAACAGCATTCTGGAAAAACAGCCTCATATTGAAAACTCTAGTTCTTATGTCAGATTGGTAGTTTAAAATTTCAATCCTGAATCACTCTAGCTGTGGAATTAAAGAAGTGTTTAAACTCTGATTTTTCTTCTTATTTTTTTTCATCTTAAAATGGTAGAGAAGAAAACTTCCTTTCTCCTAAGGGAGTTTTGTGAAGGAGTGAAAAAGACAATCCAGGCTTGGTATAGTGGTGTACACCTACAATCCTGTACTTTCTTGGGGAAGGGGTTATGCCTGAGTATGTCAGTGTGACAGATGTCAGCAGGTTGGGAGGCAGAAGTTTGATTGGAATGGAGACCAGCCCATAAAATCAGCAGGGTTTATACACCTTCTCCAAGTGACTAATCTCAGATACCCAGACTGATCATTTAGACTCAGGAGTGAAAGACCAGCCAGGAAAGCCTGATTTCCACTTAAATGAAACAGAAGCACCGAAAGATCAATACCATGTGCTTAGCTGAAGCTGATGTTTTGTAGGCACTCCCAAATTGCTGGCTCTCTTTACCTGCCATTACCCTCTCAGGATTTATCCACCTCCCACTATGTATCAGTCAGTAGAAGCATCAGAGTGGTAGAACAATCCCCCATAGGCTTCCTCTAGTAAAGCTGGAACTTGGATCAATTTAGACAGGCGAATACAGACTGAACACAGGGCTTAGTTGCTTGCATAGGAGTTTTCTTATGTATGTGTGCACATGGTGTACATAAAATGAAATATGGACTTAAAGTTGCCTACATTTATGATGGTTGGGTTTTTATTTTCTGGTAAAGAAAAATTTAAGTCTGTATGCATCATTGCCAGGAATGGTGGCTCATGCTTGTAATCCCAGCACTTAGGGGCTGAAGCAGTAGGATTGCTTTAAGTTCAAGGCCAGACTGGGATACAGAGACATTTCCATGCTAACCTGGACTATAGTATGAGACCTTGTCTGAAAAACTAAAAACAAAACATTAAATGAAAAATAAAACAAAAATGACACACCCTATAAGTAATGGCCCTTTTAGGTGAAAAAAAAAGTGGGCCAGCACCAGGACCAGGGGTCAAGTACTGTCTAGAGGACTGACCACCCTTGAACTAAAACCTGTAGGAATTTGCCAGTCAATATTGAGTCTGGGGACAACTGGAAGGCAGATCACACTGGACTATATGCCATTCTCTTATATTTTTGGTTGTGACCCTAGCCTTTAATGGCTGAGCTATCCCTCCGGTCCTTTGTGCCATTCTCTAGAGCATGTTAATGAAGAGCCCAGGTTATAGGACCAGCAACCTGCTTTGAACCTGTCTTTTAAGCCCACTGTCTCCCTGTGACCATTACTGATTTCTGGGTCCCAGTTAGCTGTAATGATGAAGAGACAGTAGCACAGCACCAATGAGCACAACGCTGGTGGCTTTTTAGTTATGTAAAGAACTCAGGCAATCCAGTTAGTCTGGAGCAGAGGGTAAAACAGGGAGGTGGCCTGTGAGACTTCAGAGAGACCCATGACAAATAGGCTGGGATTAGACCTAAGGAATGTGAGGTTATCTCCAAGGTAACCATTAACCAACAAGAGTCTTCAGCAAGGAGATTGGGGTTTTAGAAGCAGCACCTGGGCACAAGACAGGCCAATAAATTGCAGGAAGTCCAACCGGAGGCAAGGAGAGCAGTTAAGAAATATGCAAGAATCTGGCAAAAAAGAAAGACAGGGGGTGGGGGAGGGAGTCAAAGACAATGAAAGGGGTGAGGAGATGAGGCAGAAGTGAGGGACTTTCAAAAGGTATCAGAATTCAGTCAGCTATGAGAGGCAGGTTGGGTGGAGGGGACGATCCAGGTGTTAAGCTTGGTTAAGAAGGAGAAGTCAGGGTGCAAGGGGTTTCCAGGGACAAAGGGAGTGCACATGTGCTCATCTGGAGGTCTTCCGAGTTAGGAGGTCCCAAAGCTGTTAACAGGTAGGGATGGAACCCAGAGGAGGGATTAGCTTGAGATGCCAATGTGCTGATGTCAACAAGTTGGGAGACAGAAGTTTCCCTGGGATGGAGGTCACCTAGAGATAATAATGACAGAGCATCTGGGTGTATGTCCTTCTCTAAGAGACTAATTTAAGGAAACACACACACACACACACACACACACACTTACTCATACACATATGCACACACTGTTGCACACATACAGTGTGACTGACACAGTGAGAACTCAACAGCCTTTACCATCACCATTTTTATCAGAACAAAAGCAAAGAGTTGAAGGAGGGGCCCAAAAGCAAACACAGGTGGTTGAGGAAGGGTAAAAAAGCCCATGATGAATATGAAGAGTCTTCCAGAAAGGGAGAACACAGTGTAATTATCAAGGGAAGAGACCTTTGAGGAAAGAGAAGGTGTTAATGGTTCATAAGGTCCAAAGGAAATTAGCAAGAGCCTGCTAGACCTGACAGTGGGTGAGCCCCTGGTATCTCTGCTGAAGGCAGGAGGCTAGTGGCAGAGGCTGGGACAAGAGGGGATTGAAACAGAGTGCATGCTTAACTTAGAAAAGAAACAAGAAAAACACCTATCTGGAGAAATAAAGTTTCTGTGAAGTAGAAAATACCTTCCTATCAGATGAGACACCTCATCTCACTGCAGAGCGGATCCAGGCCCAGGGAGGTTGAGACTATGCTGCATATCCTACAGTAGATAAGAATGCAAGTTGAGCCAGGCGGTGGTGGCGCACACCTTTAATCCCAGCAGTCGGGAGGCACAGGCAGGCGGATCTCTGTGAGTTCGAGGCCGGGCTGGACCGATAGCCTCTGAAACAATACAGAGAAACCCTGTCTCGTAAAAACCAAAAAAAAAAAAAAAAAAAAAAAAAAAAAAAGAATGCAAGTTGACATTGGATTAACGTTGACTTAAACTCCAAATCCAATAGGTGGAGGAAGAACCAAGCAGATGAGGCCTTAAAACAAGGAAGACCGATGTTAGCAATCACTGGTGCCTGGTTGTGGACTGGGCCACAACCTTGCAAGGAGCTTCCCCTCCTGGTAGTGCTGGAGTGACACCTCATTGAACATGGATGTCTCATGTTCAGCTCAGCACAGGTCTCATCACTGTGCTGAGCTGATTGATGTCTTTGTGTAGCTGTGTTTGTATTGTCAATAAAGCAGGAGTTTCTTGCCTCTTCACTCATTTTTTAATCCTTTGGTTCCAAGCCATGTCAGGGACATAGTGGGCATGCTGACTAGCTGCCTCAAAGGGCGGGGATTTTCCTACCAGGATAGGAGGCCAGTCAGCTGTTGCTCTAACTTTTCCTTATCTAAGCCTCCAGGAGTCAGAATTCGGGGTAGTGGCTATAAAGCTTCTAATGAGAATCAGCTCTGAGCCCTGGAAGCTGGAGAGTGAAGCTAGGCAGACAACAGTAAGACCCAGACTAGAGGGGGGAAGCAAGACTTTGGAACCAAGGCCAGGAGTCTAGCTCAGGAGTGAGACCAGAGGCTGACCGGGTACACAAAGGGTCTGCAAGAAGCTTCTACATTTCAAAGCAAATCCCCATGCAGAACAGAGCCACAGTGCAGCAGGACTGACAAGGAGCCTATGGTGGTGGGGATGGGGTGGGGTCATGTTTCTCTGTGGAGCTGGCCAGTAGCCTGGACTTCCAGAGGTTGGGTCATGTTAACAGTTACATTCAATGATTTCAGGTGAGTTCAAGTGTTGGTAGCCTTGGGAAAATGCGAAATAAGTGAAAAGTAAAGATTTGAGAAAGTTGAATCCTTATTTAAGGACTAGATGAGGCAAGACTAAAGTACATTTAAGAATCATGGCAGAAATGTTTTGGAAAGAGGGGTCATGAGCAAAGCACAGGGTATGCTTTCTATAACTCTGTGTCCCAAACCTGAATCAACTGGTGTTATGATGCTGACTCTGCACAGAATGAAACATAAGCTCAGAGGGACTGACCATCTAGCCTAAGGCCACACAGCTGGGAAATGGGATTTTGGAATTCTGCTTTGACTTTCCAGGAGTTTCTGAGATCACAAAACTTCTTCAAATGGTCTTCAGAATAGGACCCGGCAGCACTATGACATTGGAAATGGCACATGAAGTTTAGGGAAGTCAGGGGAATAAGCAAGAATTTGAGTGTGGAATGGTGTCCTTTGATTGGAAATACAAACCAGGTAACTCTGTGGTTCCCCTGTGTATCACCATGATCACTCTACCAGTCACAGGGATGCTTTGAAAGAGTGTGCTATTGATGATGGAGGACTCCTGTCTCAACATGGTGTGATAACCTGTAGCACCTGAAACCATGTGTAGTGGCTGTGTTATTCTTTGCAAGGAGCACTACAGAGACCTACCAGGGCAGTTGTGAAAAACACAGCAGCAGGGTCTTCACCAGGCAGGATTCCAAGTCCTCAGATGGCAGGTGCCCCTCTTTCGATTTCTGAGAGGCATCTATAGAATCACCTCTGCTTACAGAGCTTTCTACCATCCCCTCCTCCACCTTTGTTCCTGGTGGAGCTAATTATGCTCAGTGGTTAATTAGTAAGACCCAAGGTTCAGGAGAACAATGACTGGGGCTTCCTCTTCTCAGCTCCTCCCTTCCAGGGCTCAAACCACCAGGTAAGGAATATGTGTGTTCCCAGGCTTTCTTTTCATCTCTCCCTGCATATCAGGCAGGATTTTGTCTCCTGAGCTAAACTGCCCTGGATTTTTCCAGAATAGGACCCGGCAGCACTATGATATCCTTAGCGTGTCCATAGGTCATCCCTGTAGCCCTCCATTTCTAAGAAAACTTGGACTGGATAACAGCAGTGCATAAGGAAAGCCAGTTGTTCAGAGGGCTTGTCTGTGTCCTGTCTTGTAATAGTGTCTTATAAGCTTGGAGGCTGGGGCCCAGCATGCCCATGTGCCCCCCTTCCCCCCAGAGAGAGAGAGATACAGAGAGAGAGAGAGAGAGAGAGAGAGAGAGAGAGAGAGAGAGAGAGAGAGAGAGAGAGAGAGAGAGAGAGAGCTGCTGACAGGTTCAGTCTGGGCTTTGAACTGAACTAAAACTATAAAAAGGCCCATTATGATCTCTGCAGGTTGGCACACAGCTCCAACTTCAGCCTGGCCTCAGATAATCACCTGATTAATTTATTGGTGGAATCTTGATCATCGTGGAGCTTTTGTAATTTATGCAATTCTCCTTTTTTTTTTTTTTTACTATTGACATCACATCATCTCCTTTGAGGTGCAGAGGTGCAGAGAGACCAAGACATTTATGGGTGCTTCAGGGAACAACTGGGACTTCCTTTTCTAGAAGTTTGAATAGAAACCCAACTCAACTTCAGCCAAATCACAGCTACAGATGTACAGGATGGCTGCAAGGACCTCCAGGCAAAACCACCCAGGAACAACCCCCTGCTGCTTCTTTCTCTTCACCACACTGCATCCCATCCTTCCAGACCCACGCCCCCCCATCTCACTGTGTCCTCCAATTTGGAGTATCTTCTTTACTCCACATGGAGTGGCCAACTTCAATGCACATTTAGCTTCAAAGAGGGATGGGACCCATCATATCACAGTCACTAGGTTGGGTGATCACTCACTGCCTACATGACACATAATAGTTTCGTGTCTCCACTACCCCATTGCTGTAGGGAAAACAGCAATCCCACACTACTAATTCTGGGCACAGCCCTCTCCTTCCTGTTCCCTTGGCTCTCTCCTTTAAAGCACCCTTCAACCCAACTCACTTTGCTTGTAGGAGCTCTGAGTATTCATGCTCACCCACCCAGATCATCCTCCCATCCTTCCCACACCTGAAGATGTGACCCTGTTGACTCTGTTGATTCCTTAGAAAGGGCTCTTACTATCTCTAGAGTCAAGACCATATTCAACAGTGAATGAGAGCAAGTCCTTTTCTGGTCTCATCTTCATTTCCTCCAATTTTGCTTTCCAGACCATCATTCCTCCTCCCAGAAGATCCATGAACTTTATCCTCTGCCTAAAATCTCCCTTCCCTCATCACGGACACATGTATAGACACAGATGTATGTGTGTACATATATATACATAATGTAATATAAATTCATCACATTGCACATTCTAGACAAACACTACCACTAAGTTATACTCCCAGTCCCTCCTTATATTCTTATCTACCTGTATATTTAATTAGTTTCTCCAAGTTTTCTTTGACACAATATTAAATGGTAATAAAGTATCTTAATAATGGGTACAATTATGGAGAAAATTTGCATTCTATGAGAAAAATATTTGAAACTACCCTATCTTTTTTTTTGTATCTGTAAATCTACCTCTGAGACTTTGGATTTGTGAAATAAACAAGTGGCTGAAACCCATTTTCAAATCAGTTGTCCATCAGATCAGAGTGATGGCTATGAAATTAATGTAGAAACTTTGCATCTGCTGGAAGTTAAGGTGATACAAACGCAGGAGAAGCAAATCACTGTGTTTTATTTATTCTTGCTAAATATATGTCCAAAAGAAGATAAGCAAAGCATCAGCATGTTTGCTTTGGGCCACTGAAGATGGATTGTTAAGTGGGATGGGAGAGCCAGATGTCTCAGTGGATAAAGGTGCTTGCTGCCAAGCCTAGCAACCTGAGTCCCATTCCTGGGAGTCAACCAGCTTCCTCAAGTTGTCCTCTAGCCCCCACATGAGGGCTTTGGTATCTGCAAGTGCCCTTCAATCAATAAATAAACTAATAAGTGTTATTAAACTAGACTTGGTATCACATGCTTGTAATTATATCATTTTTGAATCCAAGTCAAGAGAATGGAAAATTTGAGGCCAACCTAGCCTGTCTCAGCAAAACAAAAATAAACTGGGTGTAGTTTTTAACAACTTATTCTGAAAAAGAGTATTTTTATTTGCTGTCACTGTAAGTTTTGAAATAAGTAAGTGAAGACTTCGTTCTGTGAGTCTTCAATCTGGCAGCATTGAAAAGTCTGTAGCAGAGAGTCAGGCTCTCCCATTGCCTTTAGAACATCTCTCGCTTGCTGTTCTTCCTAGGTCTCATGCAAGCACATGGAAGGGATCCATGGCCAGTGATGGGTAACATCCTGGGAGGGGGGTGTATCTAGGTGGTTCTGTTCTTTCCCAGGTCCAAATTCCCTTATAGAATGTACATGATAAGCTTGCCAGGGATGCCAAGGGCCTTGAGTTCTAAGCTTGGCACTGAAAAGAGAATAAAGGATAGGGATGGAGGAAAAAAAGCAATATAGATCTGTGATTATATGAATTAGCACAGGAAAGCACTGGGTGAGTGCCTAGCCATTATGGACTCTCATTGTCTCTCATTGTTGCATAGGCACATGGCCTGTACCTCTGTGAATCCCTTGAGAAGCCCAAGGTTTCTTAGCATGAAACCACCCTAACTGTGTACACACAGAAAAACTTAAAAAAATATACTATTGCTGAACCTTCTTTGGAAAGACTCTGAGGTTTTTCAAAATTCAAAGACAAGCCTCCGACTTCTCCTCCAATGAATGCTAACCCAGGAACAGGTAGGGGATGAATGTGTGGTCTGCAGTCTGGGCAGCCCAGAACACAGAAGCCTGCTCCTCTTCTACTGGGGCTCTAAAGTTGACACCAGGCTCTGCTGGGACAACAGGAACTTTAGCTGTGCTCATCTGAGAGGTGACCCTGACTCGCCCCACCCTGAGAACAAAGGGCAATTACAGCTCTTTTGTAGAATCTAAACTGGAAGGGAAGGGCTGGTTCATCAAAGGCTGGGGAACTTCTCATTGGCTCCCTTTCTACCCTAGATGCCCTGACTTTGCTCAGTTGCCTTGCCTATAGCATGGTAGTCTTCAGCTGGTGATCTTTCGTTCTTTCTGATGGGTTTCTGGTAGATCATTTTGATTCAGATAATTTTTTGGATCATTTCACCCCTTCCCTTCAACCTGTATCCATAGTCTCCAGCCTAGACTTCACGCTCTGTGACCCCAACTTCAAAGCCAGATGATGTGGGTCCCTTGCAGAAATGCCAGAGTCAACAATGGGTCTGGGACTGGGGCTGTGTGGTGACTGCCCAGTTGGCGCTCTTTAACCTCCTAACTATTGTGTTCAAAGTCACTACCACATCTCCCTTGGAACAATGGGTTCAGCAGCTCTTGCCAGCAGACCCTGGCCATGTAAGCCTCTAAGAACACTCAAATAAAATCATAAAAATCTAAAT